TTTCCCTCTTTTGGTTCGGATCTTTTATATCTTTTTTGGGTCTTATTTTGGAGAGTGGACGTTCGTTATTTAGAGCGCCGCTATTACTACTACCAAAATATGGCGCTGTTTTTGGATTTTATATTTCACACAAAAAAACTTGTTCAACCTTTTTGCTTTTGTGAGTGGGTTTGGGATGAAAGGCAAAACCTTTGAGGACAAAAAGTAGAAAACATTCTATGGTACACTTGATGCATCATGCATTTAGTGTGAGGAGATGGCAATACAGTTAGCACCACATGATTGCCATATGATATGAGGTTGGTTCTTATTCAAAACGAAGGTAGTTGTTTGAGTGAGGATATGGGATTTGTTTTTTCTTTTTATAATTTATGTGTAAGAGATCTATACTATGAGGGTGTTAAGTATGACACGTCGTATTGGAGTATGGGCCTTATAACATCACTGTCCTTTAATAAATCATTTGAAACAAGTTTATAAAAACATAATATCACCGAGTACGGGAATGGGAATTCGAACACGGATGTATAGTGAGGAACACATTCACTCTAACCAATTTAACTAAGCTCTTGTCTTCTCATTTCATTTCGTTCTTAAGTTATACCTCCTCAAAGTTTTTACTCTTATTGTTAGTGTAAATCAATCATTGGAGTTTTAAAAAACAAAAGAGATTTGTATAATGGTAAACTAAATGGACGATAATTCTAAATTACATGAATTTGCCCAAACTCCAAATACAAACCTTCGCAAATAATATTTACCAGAAATAAAATATTAGTTTTGACGATAAGAGGAGAGAGATGAGGCAGAAGAAGAAAGAATATGAAATTAAAGTTAAAAACAAAAAATCAGTTAATAATTTATAATTAAACTCGAAAAAACAGAACAAAACAAACCCCGAAAAGGAGGGAAAAAAAAGAAAAAGAACTCTGGTTACAATTATTGGAGAAGAAGAAAGCCGTACCTTTTTGGGGCTTTCCTGTTCTCATACGTCACACAAATGACAAATCTACCCTTGTTGTGCCCATATAAACCAACCACACCAGATGCCTCTGAAATTGACCAAGTTCCTCATATATTTGAAAATGGCTATCTTCTCTGCCCAATTTGCTTCTGCAGTAGCATTGATAGTAGCAGCTTCGTTGTGTCTGATTGATGCCAATCAAACTGCAATTGGAATTGAAATTGGAAGCAGAGGGCAGAGAGAGTTCGATTACTTCAACTTGGCCCTGCAATGGCCTGGCACTTTCTGTCAACGCACCCGCTATTGTTGTTCATCCAATGCTTGCTGCCGAGGGTTCATTCTCTCTTCCCTCTCTGTTTTTAAAGTTTCTTTCTTTTTTCGTTTTGGTTGATTTTAATTTGGTTAATTAGGTTGGCTTTCCTGTTTATGGTCTGTGTTGATTGATTTTGAGGTGATTTTGTTACTTTGGTTTTTCTTATTCCAGCGCAAATTCTCCAACCGTGTTTACAATCCGTAAGTTACCAACATATAATATTTGTATATTGCAAGGATGGAAAGCATGACATAAGTTGATTTTGCACTTGAAGTTAAAATATTTTGGTTGGGGCATGTTTGTTCGTAATTTTGGAAGCTAATTTCTGCTCTTCAAAGTTCAGAAAACACAAAATGTCCATATTAGCGAGTAGCTTTGTTTTTGCGTTTTCAGAAAGGGAAAAAAGAGATTGCTTGTTACTTTTTCTTAAAGGACACAACCTGAAAATCCAGGAAGGGGTTTCAAAAAAATTTATTTCACTCATGATCAAAGTCGGCCAACCCATATTTTATCCATTGACTGTTTGCTTAATGAGAAATATACTAACCACCATTCAATATGTGAATGGTAGATGGATTGTGGCCTGACTACAATGATGGAACCTGGCCTGCCTGTTGCACACAGAAAAGCTTTGATGAAAAAGAGGTGTGTATTTTTAATTTCATGTCTACATGGTTTTTGGGGTCGTGGATATTTAAGAAAATAGCTCACAGAAAGGAATGAGGAACCTCCAAAAGAAAGATTTTATTTAAGCGCATGATTAATATGTATTATATAATGAACGTAGTGATTGATGGAATAAAGTACCAACACTCATGTCGCGCCATCTTCGACAAGGCTTAGACAGCACTGTCCATGTTTTTATTATGAAGACATCATGTGACTTGTATTAATTTTCAACTTTTACAACTTTGTTTCCCCCTTAGAGATGCATCTCTAGTAGTGGCAGTATCTCACCACTCTCTCTTTATGTATTGTGTAGATCTCAACATTGCATGATGCATTAGAGAAATATTGGCCGTCTTTAAGTTGTGGTAGACCATCATCCTGCCATGGTGGAAAAGGATCATTTTGGGGTCATGAGGTAATCATCAGTTGTGGACTTATTTTGTTCTCAAATTTGTTATGACCCTAACTTTGAGCTAACTATTTTTCATTCTTATCTTTCCTTCCTGACTGAATTGCACAATATTACAATGGCAGTGGGGTAATCATCTTTATCTTTTGCTCCTTTTCTTTTCTTGGAATGCATCACATGTACAAGTTCTTAGTTCTGCGTTGGTCTTGCTCATTTTTCATTGTTTCTTGCAGAGAAGCATGGGACTTGCTCCTCTCCAGTAGCTCGAGATGAATACAGCTACTTTTTGACAACCCTTAATGTCTATTTTAAGTACAATGTCACTGTAAGTTCCAGAGATATTGTAATCTGTACATGGATGCTATCCCTGCCATGTTTTCCACACTTGGCTATATCCATAATTTGTGGTTCTTATTTGTAAATTGGTTTAAAGTTGGAGTCTATCTATTTTTGTATTGGATGTGTAATGGTAGTTTCCTTACCCTGTGTGCAGAAAGTCCTGAATGAAGCAGGATATGTACCTTCAAATACTGAAAAATATCCTCTTGGAGGCATTGTTTCTGCTATTCAGAATGCTTTCCGGACAACCCCAAAGTTGCTTTGCAAAAAAGGTGCTCTGGAGGAACTTCATCTATGCTTCTACAAGGATTTCAAGGTTAGAACTCCCATCTAGAATTTGCCTTTGATCCTATATCATATTGAACCAAAGAATTAAACACTTCTTGTAGATTGATTGATTGAGGAGTCAGACCCAATTGTTGTGGTGGTTAATAGTGATGCACTTTGTCAGTTTATTTACTTGAGGCATTTTGGATAATTGAGATTATTTGAGATAGACATGGAGGACAAATCCCAACGTCCACCTTTATTTATGGTCTTTTGTTATGTGCAGAGGTTTCCTTACGTATTCTAAATGTTTCATGTTATTGCAGCCTCGGGATTGTGCGATTGGATCTACCAGTCCAAATGGCAGGCTATATTCAAGTAGTTCATGTCCTGATTACGTCCGCATACCAGCATATGCATCAATGGGTAATTTTCTTTAAACCCCAATTATCTGATAGTATATTTATTTGTGCAGCTTAGGTATGTCATTATTCTTTGAATCAGATTTTGATTTTGAAATGTACATTGTGCCGATAACATGTGGTGTAGATGCGTTTTTTACTTGCTATGGAGCTAGGTAATCTGGATCCAAGGGACCACCCATAAGGCGGTTCAGTTATTTGCTCCATTAGGAATTGAACCCAAGGCCACTCTGTCAGAGTAGGGAGGGCATGAATATTGGGGGCAAGCTCATTGTCAGGAAATATTTCTAGTTGCAACTGTTTATGCTTGCTGGCTTTTTGCATCTTCTTATCTTTCCTAGAGTCTTTCTTCTATGAACTGCCTGCCCTTTAGGCCTTTCACATAAACTTTACAGAAGACAAGAAAAGGAAAGTCTAAACATATGATAGTTGTGTTTGTATTTGTGTCTTCAGGCGATTTGGGGCATATTTTCGTGAGTGCATCATTTTTGAACCTTAAGTTATCATTCAACAGTTCTAGGATTCACAGATCTTTCTGAGACATAATCATTCCAACATTTATGTTAAGATTAATTTATCATCGAACATTTATTCTAGCATAATATATTATTGAATATTGTTACAGCGTTGTATATAATTCCAATTCAGATTAATTTATTCTTTTTTTATGTTCAGGGCTTGGCAGTGGTGAAACGGAAATTTCAAGTGCCTGATGCTGATGTTCTCTAAGATCTTGGCGGGTCGACGTGTTGTAAATTACTCAATTCAGTTTGTGTAATTCTTGAGCAAAGCTACAAAATTCATAGTCGATCTCTATTGTTTAAAATTCAGATCCCAAAATTGGAAAAGATTGCTTAGCATTGCTCCCATGAATTTGTATTCTACTTCATAGTTTATCTGTATGCTACAATGCGGTGTAAATTCAGAGCCCCAAAATAAATAAAAATGGGAAAAATTCTTTACTCTCTCTCTTTCGTTCCCTCTCTAAAATAACATATTCGATGTCTTCAATGGACCATTGAGGTGGTTCAGCCGCCCATATATTCTTGCTTTCTACTTCACTGCTGCAGCCTGCGTCTTGTGTACCCATGCCATGGAATCATTCCAAATTGCACTGTGGGGAGAAAAAAAAAAAAAAAAAAAGAGCAACAAAAAGGTTGGTCTTTATTAAGTGGACTCTTTCTGTTAGAAAAATGATACACCGAAGCAAATGACAGCAAGGTGCTCCTACTCTCTGTGTTGTCTTGTTTGACCAGACCTATAAATTCAACCATTTTTTGGGTTATGCTTATGATGGCTTTCCCTTGCGTAAATGCTGACAGTGGGACAAACATGACTTGTTATAAGCTTTGAACAAACCCATTCTTCCATATGTCACAAATATGAGCTGATAAGCTTGGAAAGTAGTAGTTTCTATATCAGAACAGCAATGCTTGGTCATGTGGCTTACCTAATGAATATATTTCATATAAGTTAAACTTTTGTATTACAATAATAATTCTCTGCGCACAAAGTATAGCAGTAGCTTTCAATTATTTATCAACTCCATTAGAATAATGATCATTGTCAACTTCTTCCAGGTGGCATACATTGAAATATTGAATCCATCACCCACTACTTGGCCTGTTTTATCCCACCTCTCTACAAACAGAGAGAGAAAACCAGAGAGAGAGAGAGAGAGAGAGAGAGATGAAGACAACCCAATTCATAATTTTCATCCTCATCATCACCACCATCTTTGGCTTCTCAGCCAAAGTGAATTCAGAGACAGATTCTTGCGGCTCAAGTCTCAATCTGCAGAATGTCAATTTGCCCTTTGATGCAGCTTCCCTCCACTGCCTTTCTGTTTGGGATGCTCACAATTACATCCTCAGAGTAAGTCAACCACGTCCTCTAGCTTCCAAGACTAACAATTATAATCTGCATATTCATCTTAGGCTCATTTGATAATGATTCTGGATAAGCCAATAATCACTTCTATGGAGAATCTCTCTATATAATCACTTTATAACAGACCCTTAATTACAACAATAATCATGATCATCAAGGTGGTCTAATGGAAAATCTCCATTTTTTTTTTCTGCAGTACTCACAGACCTCATCAAACATATGGACCTTTGTCCTCTCAACACCAGCTGTAAACTCATTCATAGCAATGGGGTTCTCAAGCAATGGACAGATGGTGGGGTCCAGTGCAATTGTGGGGTGGGTGTCCTCAACAGAACGCACGATCAAACAATATTTCTTGGGTGGGACTTCAGCAAACCTTGTGGAGCCTAACAAAGGGAACCTTCAGGTTGCTAGCAACTTCTCTTTAATTTTATCTCAGTCCTCTCGTCTGTACCTTGGCTTCCAGTTGGAGACCAGCCAGCCACAGACAAGGCTCCTATACTCTGTTGGTCCAGATGGGTTTCTGCCTGTGGCACCAGACTACAGGTTGATCGAGCACAGTGACAAGTTCTCTACCTCCATAAATTATATCACAGGTGAGTTACATCATCTCAACTCAACCCATGTTAATTAAGGAGGAGAAGTTACCTTGCACTCAACGTCAGAAGTTTGATCCTCCTTCTCTAATATCACTTGTATCAACCAAAAAAAAGAAAAGTTTTTTGTTTTTTTTTTCCTTCTTGGTGACATAAGACTTGTGGGTTTTGTGATGCTGACCCTAACATCAGGCTTTAAGTTTGATTGGTGGAACATTGAAAGTAACTGGCTATCTGCTTCTTGGCTCGTCCTATTAAACTCAAAATCGGTTTGGAATTTGTTTTATATGGAACCAATTAAGTGATCATGGACCCCTTGAATAATTTCATATGATGTATTTGTACCACTACCACCCACCTTGTCCTATAATTCAAATCGATTGTGATGTGAAAGCTATATGGTTAGGTTTGGATATATAGAGGCATTGTAACTTATCTTGCTAAACCTACGTCGTTTGTGAATTTTAGACCACATGTTCTGATAAGAATTAATTTGATTATGGATCTAAATTGATAGTTTGACAATATAGAGCACCGTCTTGTTTGTATTTAATATGTGTTTAACAATATTTACTTGACAACATAAGTCTGGCAAGACATCATTACCTAAATAGTACTTCTCTCCACAGGTCAAAGCACATCGAGCTCACAAAGTCCATATTCAAAACTGAGGAAGAGCCATGGAGTGCTGAACATGCTAGGATGGGGCATTTTGCTGATAATTGGAGTAATAGTTGCCCGTTACTTAAAGCCATATGATCCACTTTGGTTTTATCTTCATACGTGCATTCAATCATTTGGGTTTATATTCGGAATAATAGGTGTTGTATGTGGATTTGTCTTGAACAATAAGCTCAATGCTGATGTCTCCACCCACAAAGCTCTTGGTATCATCATTCTTGTGCTTGGATGTCTTCAGGTTTGTCCTCATTCTTTCTTGTTTTTCATCCTTTACCTCATTACATCTACTTCTGGGACATACCCTGTTGTCATGCTGACGTGGTATTAATAGACTAGTGTCACTAGATAACGCTATAGGTTATGAAAGACAAAATTTTCGAGAAATTTTTTTATGTGTGACTGTAACACCATTACACGGTTTGATGTTTGTTGATTATAGGTGATGGCCATTTTGGTTCGACCAGAGAAGGAGTCGAAAACACGAAAATACTGGAATTGGTACCATCAAGGCGTGGGAAGGATTCTCATCATTTTTGCAATAGCAAATGTTTTCTATGGGATTCATTTAGGAGAAAAAGGAAAGGCATGGAATGCTGGCTATGGAGCTGTTCTTGCTATTTTAGTTGTTACTGCTGTTATTTTTGAGTTAAGATTGTGGTTTAAAAAATAATGAGTGTTTGTGGGGTACTTTCTCTTATTTAATTTTTAATTAGCATCGCTAATTGAAAACTTTCTTGTTGATTAGCATAATATTGAATTTGAAGTGATACACACCATTATGTATATTGCCTTTCACAAATTTTTACTATTGCACCTTAACTAGGGTAGGCACAAAAATGTCCCAACTGTTCAAACCGGCCAAATCAAACTAATTCGAACCGTTCGATTCAGTATTTTTCTTTTTCATATTAAAATAACTTTATAAGGTGACTAACAAGGAGTGATTAACATAAATAAATATTTTCTATATCTTCTAATCCCCATTCCAAATGACAGAGAAAGTAAAACTAGCATTTTTATTAGATGATTTAGTCACACCTTTCTAGTTTGTGTTTAAATTGGGCAATTTGGTCATATCCATGTGGTATAATGTGTACAATAAGATACTGAATAAATAAGATGCTATGCATTTTGTTTTTTTTTGTTTTTTTTTGTTTTTGTTTTTTTTTTTGAAGAATAAGATACTATGTATTTTGGAGAGAAAAAAGAAGAAGGTAAGATTCAATGTATGTTGAAGTATTCCATTTAGGGTTATCTGGGGAATACTATGTAAGACTAATTTATTTCACTTACTTTTTTTATATATTTTTTATATAAGCAATGTTGGGGGGGGGGGGAAATCGAACCTAGGACCTCATATGCAAGGGTAAATGCTTACCGCTTGAGTTACTAATCCATCATTCTTCTATCCACGCACACTTTTCAAGACATGTAAATTTCTAGTACATTAAAACGATCATTGTTCGGTTTATGCATTGTAAGTGAACTTTTATTAATTGTGTGACACCGTGTATGTACTCGAATAGAACTTTTAGTACCTTTAGAATCACTCTGGATTACAAACCTAAACATAAATACACATAAAATCAGATTGTTAACCATTCTACAAGCTTCCATGCCATTTTTAAATCCCTTGTTATGGAAATAAATCCAATAATTTTGAACTGTCACCAACCTGACAGTATATAATAAGGTTGTCATCGCACTCAGGTTTCCACATCAGTTTCTTGCAACAGATTTTCGTTTTCCTCTTATCTTGTTTCCTTCCTATCAAACTTACATGTATTGACTGTTTCTGGTGTGGAAAAAATTCTATTGCATTAGCACTATGGCTGATTCAACTCCCCCCAAAAATCACAGTGCTAGCTCAATCACCGGCATGAAGAAAAACCCTCCTGCAGTTCTTGCAGACATGGCCCGACACGATCCAAAGCGAGCGAAAAGGTGTTGTTTTCGATGATCTGTAATGCTGAAACATATTTTTCTTCGGAACGCCAGTAATGAACCCTTTAAGCAAATGCAAAATGGCTTGAAAAATGTGGCAGGATTATGACGAACAGGAGGTCAGCTATGAAGGCAAAGCAGAGGAAGAAGATGTATGTTAGTGCGCTTGAATATAACTTGGAAAGGTTGTACTGTGAAGCGGCTGCTCTGTCTGCTCGGTTGAATCTATGGATGGTAAATCAACATCATTGCCACCCTTCAAAGGAGAAACTTAGTATGTAATAATGAGCATTAACTTTTTTGGTTTTGTGTTTCTTTATTGAGCAGACAGATGCCCTTTACATACATGCAGACAACAAGAGACTGAGGCAATGCCTGCACCATATTGTGCAACAAATTCGATTGCAAGACAGTAAGGACTATAATATTGCAGACTCACAGCCTAATTATTCAACTTGAAAATAAGTTTCTTGACAATGAATTTAGTTCACAGCTAAGGATCAGAGACTAATATTTTTCATGTTTGCTGACAGCCTTGATGGATGAGACTCAAAAAGAGATTCAAGATCTGAAAAGATTTGTTTGGTCACACAAGACCTCAAAAAATTGAATGGAGAGTTTGGTCTGGATGAAGGGACTCCGAGCAACTTCTACTCATCTTCTTGAAAAACAGCAATAATATGTAATTGAATCAGCCCTTAGCCACACAGATGTTTTCTTCACAACTTCTGTATGATCTTGAACAGCAGCTGGAGCAACATTGTTCCAGTGGAAATTATTTTCTGAATCCAAAATGGTTATGTTTTTTCATCAACATCATCGACATTGTCCTTACATCGTTGACATAATATATGTTTCTTGTGTGGTTGTATCATTCAAATTTGTTTACTAGAATGGATTTTGACTCAGTAAAAGAAGAAACACAATAGTTTCTTGTGTGGTTGTGTCATTCAAAGATTGATTTCACTAATAATCCATATGAAATTCATTACGTCGAAGCAATCAAATACTTATTAATCCACCGAACACTGTACTGTAAAATTAATTTCATCATCAATTCAATAAATATTTAGAAAAATTACAACTCCTTTAAGGATATCATAGACATTTTCATGTCAAATAAGTCAAATTTCTTTTCGTCCAATATAATCTAAATGCCCACATAAGCCCCTATACACATTTTTTCTTCTTCCTTGATGGTAACATCACTCCTATAACATTTGAACAACTCTATTGCTGTTGAAGTAATCCTAGAACAACCGTTCATGTACAGAACAGAGAGCTGTTTGCAACCATTTTGCAAAGCCAGTAATCCAGCATCACATAGACTCCGACACCGGTTCACATGGAGTTTCTCCAATTTGTGACAATTCATCCCAATAGAAGACCAACCAACTATCCTGACCCCATGACACAATGCCAAGTTCCATTCCTCAAGAAGCGGACAACCTTCTGCAATTGCTACAATAGACTCATCGCCAACAGTTCTGCACTGCCGAAGGTTAAGAATTTTAAGGCTGAAGGCAAATCCACTCCCAATTGTTGCCAAACCATTTCCACCATTGGACAAGATTAAACCGGATATATTTAAATATTCAATCCCACCTCCACTTACAATTCCCGAAATGCCCTCTGACTTGAGCTTACATGATTCAGCTTCTACATAAGCTAAAGTTGATGAACAACCTTTAAAGCCAATACCAGTTACGCCCTTACAATGTGATATCTTAACTGCCTGAAGTTGACGACAGCCTTGTGAAAGAGCTCTTAACCCATGATCAGTAATAAAATAGCAGTAAGAGAGATTCACATCCTTTAAAATTGAGCAAGAATTAGCCAAACTTTCTAACCCAAAATCAGAAATTTGGCAACGGTAAAGGCTGATCACTTGTAATGATGGACAACCAGTAGCTACCACAGACAACCCATGATTAGTAATACGAAAACAACATTCCAGAATAAGGGTGTGCAACTTTGACCCATAATTTACCAAATGTTCCAAGCTTGAATCAGGTAGCTCTGTGCAGCCAGATAAGGACAATGAGTGTAAATGCTGAAAGCGAGTAAGCAGCCTATGGAGATGATAGGTGTTGATGTTAACATGGTTATTTGAATGTGATAATGAGGAAATGTCAAGCTGTCTGAATGAACATTGAAAATGTAAGGACCGACGGCTAAGATTTTGAATACAAAGACAGCGATGGCAAGTCAAGCCAAAGGATTCGCGGTCAGAACTAGAATCAAGGCATTGAAAAATAAAAACGAGACAATCATCTGGAAGGTCCATGATGGAAGTAAGAGCATTAGTACTAGAACTACAAGTAGGTTGCATCTTAGCACTCTTCAGAAGGCTGTAGAGCTCGTATTTTTACAGTGAACTTTCTGTAAGCTGAAGTAGATGAGTTGGGAGAGTCAAAACCACAAAGAACAGAAGAGTCTCCATAACCATAACCAATATGAACCCCACATTTACGGCAGAGGAGTTTAGTCTTTGAACGATAACGACCCCAAGAGACAGGAAAACAGTTTACCTCATCAACCTGCGTGAACCGACTAAGATCAACTGTGAGGAATGAAATAAAACCTTTCTTGACGGACTTTTGATACTCAGAGCCAATGCCAGAACCAGAGGTCAAACGATTTAAAGATGACAAGTTCAGAGGGTATGCACAAGACCCACAGCTGTAATGAATTCAAAAAACAAAAACAAAAGAACCAATTTCAGTATAACAATCAAGTTCTGGCACCCATTAAAACAAATTAAAGATAGCAGATCATGCACATTTGGGCAATGTTCAATTTTACTAAACAAGGTGCATTTAAACTTTATTTAAAGGTACTTCATAAAGTACTAGAATCAAGTTTTGGGAAACACCCTATGACCCAATGAGATTAGACTGATGAAAGGTCAAACCTTCATCTTCATCACAAATGAATGCAAGTAACTTTTTGGGTTCATCCCAAGTCCCCACCTTTGAAAACAAAAGTTACTAGAGTGAGAAGATTAACATGAAACTTTGACAAAGGATTCAAATTGGGTGAAGAAATGAAATGACAACAGATTCAGATTCAGAACAATGGAATTGGAAAATTACCTATAGGACACTTCAGCTTGGGACATCCTCACTCACCCAAGATCAGACCCAACTTTCCTCCGATTCATTGAAATAATTGTTGCCAATACCAGACCCAAGTTGTCTCTTTTCTTTGGGATATTCGTAAATTCTGATCCTACCTGGTCAAGGGATTTGCCGGCTTGTCATATGAAACTGGAGACTCTCTGAGAGATGACAAGTTCTTAGACCCAAACAATGTACATGGGCTGGAAGACTTGGGCTGGTTCTGGCCTGCCTTGAACTATTTATTTATTTATATATTTTTTTATTATTAAGAATACTGCTTACCTACTACTTTCTTGTAAAGAAATACTCCTCCTCTCTACGAATCATAATTTGACACATATGCAAAAATAATTCATAAAAAAGATAAAAGAAAAAACTTATGCACACATGTCACATTGCTATTGGCTGGAATGCAAGAACTTCTACTTACATGATAAGAAGAAAAGTATTTTCCTTTTATTAATGTAATCTTGAATTTCTTTTGTATTTTGAATAGTTTACCATATACATCATTCTAATTTTTTAAAAGGCAACTCTTAGCAAAATAAAAAATAATTTTTTTTCAAAAGGAAATTTCTGAATGTTTTCAATGACGTATGTCAAAGGGAGGTGCCAACCATTATCATGTTAGTTCTTTTCTTATTGATCAATACATCAAGGGGTATAATGGGAAATTTCTTAGCTTTTTTTGGATGATACGTATACTAAATTACCATTTAAATTCTTGAGTGCCATGAGCCCAAGTAACCTTAAGCAGTGTTTGTATGGTGTAACAAGATGATGTAAGGTAAGAACTTACTTAGTGTGACACAAATTTTCCTTGTTGGCATAAACAATTGTCACATTCCGGGATCGGCTCTGTCGTAGAACGATATTCTCTGCTTTGGCCCCCCCTCTCTGCTATCACGGTTTTATTTATGGGAACTCACGAGCAACTTTTCAGTGGATCACCCATTCTGGGATTGCTCTAGCCTCCAACTCGCTTAACTTCGGAGTTTCTATGAGGCGGGCATGTACATATAAAGCACATCACCCTTTCTCCGTTGGTCGATGTGGACGTTACAATCCACCCCCCTTAGGGGCCCGACGTCCTCGTCAGCACACTCGCACCACACGGTAGAATAGCTCTGATACTATATTGACAGGACCCGCCCCGAATTCCTCGGAAGCCAGGACAAATCCTGTGGAAGTGGGCCCGACATAGGGGTAATGTCAGGAATTCCACAGAATTCGTACCGGGTTTCAAGGAATTCGGGGCAAGTCCTGTCAACAATCCCTAATTCTACACAAATTATTTGGCAGGAATTCTCAAAGTAGAGATACCTTTCTTCCTTATGGCTGCAAAGCAAGGTATTTTGCTAACTTGTAATAAAGCTTCAACCTTTTAGAGTGAACAAGAAAACTTAAAACTTTGGGTTTATGATAACATCTTTTCCATTTCAACCTCAATCATAGTCATTTTGGTGACCTACAAACATACAAGATAAAAGGGACAAAAAATTATTTTAATGAGGTTTTTCTCCCTCGTCAAAAAGTTAAGTGATTTTCAAAACTTACACATTATTTGACAAGTATGTTCACAAGTAAAATATTGAGTCACATTCAAATGTTGAATCGCAAATACATAGTTAGTCGTCTAGCTTTTCCTTCACTTACTAATATATTATTTGATGATCCCAACATGAATGAGAACTTTTTTATAATCGTGATATAAATCTTGTTTGATCCTCGTATGATTAGGGTATGTGTTGGGAATGATTTTGAAAGGGCTAAAATTACTTTCTAACAACCAAGAGTTTAGAAGTACTTCTGGATCATAGAAACGTTTTCTAGATATGAGACTTATCCATGAAACACTTGGATTTCTTATAAATTTTTTAATATTTTTATTATAAATAAATAAATAAATGCTTATGAGTATAAGTGCTTCCTAGAGAAGCAATCCGAAACAAGTCCTTAGTCATGTGACAAAAAGAAAAGGAACAAACAGGGTGTATATTCTTTTACCTAGCAATGCACATTCTTTTGTACTTTCTTTAGCCCAAGTCCCCAAACATTGGGCTAACACAGTGGGTCATTATTTGCTTGTACAAGCCCAAGGCAAAAGAGTAATTATATTGGTCTTATGGCAAGAGCCATTCATTTGGGAATTGGGAAGATGAGGATTGAGATGGCCCACTGAGTGGTGCACAGACATCGGTGGTACGCAGCTGATAGATAGATATGTAGATTACTTGCAGATATATATATATATATACATATATATAACATATAAAAACTATAAACTCGCCAAAATCCATTTTTCACAGTAGTCAATAGCTCAATAGGGTTGTGAAATCGCCATAGCGAGCGAAGCGAGCGAGGATCTCTCTCTCTCTAACTTCTTCAAGTCTCGGAAGTATTCGCTTCTTTGCGTGTTCCGAAGGACCTCCTCTGCTTCACTCTTCCACTTCAATCTACCTCATCGCATCAGGATCAGGTTCGAAAAATTCACACTTGCCCCAATCGCTTGTACACAATTTTGTGTATTTATGTTGTTTCAGTTTTGATCTTCGATTGGTTTCTGATTGGTGATTGCTCTGTTTCTTGGTCGATTTAGGTGCTCCAATGGCTTCTGCGCAAAAGGATTTGCCTGCGGCTGGTATGCTGCTACGTTGTGTCACACTGCTAATTGTATTGGTTGTGTATTGATTTGAATTAGCAATTCATGTTTAGCTGGATTTCTGTAGTTCTGCTGAGTTTGATTGATCTGGAACCTCTCTATATAGGAGCTGGATTGGGATTGGATGTAGAACAGTGGGAGTGGGATTGGGCTTAGGGGTTAATAGAGAGAGCTCTTCTTTTTCCTTTATTTTCAGGTTATAGAAAAAGCTTGGAGAGTTTAGTGTTTAATTTGTTTTGATTTTCAAGTTTTGATCAAAGGATGCTTCCTACAGTAGCCTAGTGGAGGAAATTTTATGAATTGGTTTTTGATTCAGATTTATAGCTCCGAGGGTAGAGTTGAATGGTGATGCAATTTGTATGGTTTCATGTTTCTCACTTGCGTAGGGGAAATTGAGGGTTTTGTTGTACTAATGCCTATATTTCGCTTCATGAAAGTGATTATTGTCATAGAATATACTGTAGTTATCCTTATCCTGTTGTTAAAAATCTGGAGGAATATTTAAACTATATGATTCGGGGTTATGCCTGTTCTTAACACAGTACAAGTAAATTGGTTTCATTTTAATCTACTGTGTTTTGTTATAGTGGAGCTTGATAATTGGTTGGTTAGATAATTGTTTCATCGCGACTGGATGAAAATGGTGTCAAATACACGGACGTTAAGATTTTGAGTATGCGGTTCTCATGGTTATCTTATCTTTCCCAGGCGAAAATCCAGTTTCAACAGAGAACAAAAGCTCCAAATCTGAAACAGAGGTCAAAAGTCCCAAGTCTGAAACTTCCTCTGGAGATTCACAGTCAGGACAAACAAGAGCTGCCCCTTTCCAACTTCCAGAAGCCGGATTTGCTGCTCCCAATCCTTTTGATTTCTCTGCCATGACTGGCTTGCTGAATGTATGCCACACTTTTATCGCTTTTTTGAGTTTTAAAAACATTTGAACGACTGAGTTGGGAATGAAGTAAAAGGAGTCCTTTCTTTGCATTACATATGAAGAATAAATTTTTGTAGGATAGAAGTTTCTTTTGATCAATTAGTAGTAAACAGTATATATCTATTAAACTCTCCCTCATCCTCCCTCACTGCACATAGGCTTTCTCCCCGAAAAAAATTGAATTGTTTATAGAATGGGGGTAAGCTGGATGCTGGCAGGACATCATGCCTCGATGGTAAATTGGGTGTTGGTGTGCCAACCCTGGGTCCAATGGCATGAAAAGCCTTAATGTCTGGGTGAGCCAAATTTGATGATGAGGAAAAAGTATTAAAATTTTGTCCAAAATTCAAGAGGCTAGTCAAAATGGAATTTTTTAAATTTTGGTCCCTTTATATAATGGCTCAAGTACTCATGTACCTTACACTTTCTTTTTGGTGTTATATTTATATGTTATTTTATTTTTGTTCTCACGAGTTGAGAGTATGAGTTCTGAAGTTCAGTCAGTCTCTGAGCTAACAACTGTCCTATATGCGATATGCACAGGATCCAAGCATTAAGGAACTAGCTGAACAGATAGCAAAAGATCCTTCATTCAACCAGATGGCAGACCAACTTCAGAAAACTTTTCAAGGTGCAACAATTGATGAGGGTGTCCCTCAGTTTGATAGCCAACAATATTATTCCACCATGCAACAGGTTATGCAGAATCCTCAATTCATGACCATGGCTGAGCGCCTCGGTAATGCATTGATGCAGGTATGAATTCTTGTTTTATTCGTCGTGTTATACAAGGAAGTTGCCTGGTCGGTAGAATTTCAATCTTATTAATTTTGCTACCCCAGGATCCATCTATGAATACCATGCTCGAGAGTTTCGCAAATCCAACAAACAAAGATCAGCTTGAGGAACGTATGTCACGTATCAAAGAAGATCCTTCTTTGAAGCCTATTTTAGAAGAGATAGAGACTGGTGGTCCAGCTGCCATGATGAGGTAAGTAAAGCTAGTTTTTTTCTTTTTTTTTATAGGATGGTTGAGCTATTACTTTTTCCGTCTTGGCACATGGTATTATGGTTTCATTTAACTGATTGTGGACTTTGGTTGAGCTAAAGAGGAAATTCTGCTGTTTCAGATACTGGAATGATAAAGAGGTTTTGCAGAAGTTGGGAGAAGCAATGGGTCTTGCAGTTCCAGGAGATGCAGCTACTTCTGCTGACAATTCTGGACCAGAAGAAGTAGAAGATGCTGGAAATGAGGATGAATCAGTCGTTCATCACACTGCTAGTGTTGGTGATGTGGAGGTAGAACAAACCATTATCTGATCCTATCCTCTTCATGTGCCATTTGGTTGGTTCTAATTGTTAATAAGAAATTCTGCAATTGAAAAATGATTATGATTAATGGAAAATGTCGTTCTTTTAATTTAAATCAGAAAATTATTCGCAAATCTTTACCAGGGTACCATAATACTCTCGAATCTGGAGAATCAATCATCTTGCCTGGATAGTATTGTGGTACCCTGGTAAAGAGTTACATTATATTGTTTAAAACTTTTCTTTCAAACTCATGTTTTTCTACCGCAAACTTTTCAT